TATTTATTGACAGACAGACATCACAAGTAGGCAGAGAGGCAGCAGGCTCCCTGCCAAGCAGAGAGCCCGATGTGGGGCTTGATCCCAGGACCCTGAGATCTTGACCTGAGCCGAAGGCAGAGGCTTGACTCTCTGAGCCACCCAGGCACCCCGCGACCCAAGATTTAGAACTCAGTACTAACTCCCAGTTCCAGAGGCTAATGCCCTGTCTGTGATTAGTCAATGAAGCTATTCTTGATGTTTCTCCAATTTCCAAGTCCCTCCTTGGTGATGGGTCTCTTCCCAGAAATTCTGGACTTTGCTCCTTCCTTTCCTTCCCCCCAAAATATAGGAGGCAGATTCACTTGAATACACTACTCTAAACACTAGGACAGTACATCAAAGTACATCAAAGATATATTTCTCAGAACAAAGCCACCAAAGGCTTTGCCTGAAGGGGAAGAAAAGAGGGGAGAAGGACAGACATCTTGAAAGAAGTCGAGATTCTAAGTTTCCACTGTAAAGAGTTACAAAATCAGCCCTTTCCATTTTAACAACCATTAACTTCTCACTGTTATTGAAGTCAAAGGCAGAAAACAGAAGTATCAGGAATACTTAATCACATATAGGATCCTCCTGCAGTGGGCTAAATAGTGTCATTCTCCCCCACCCAACCCCACCCCAAATTCATGTCCACTTGAAATCTCACAATGGACCCTATTTGGAAATAGTCTTTGCAGATGTTGGTTAAGGGCCAAGATGAGATCATACTGAATTAGAGTAGGCCCTAAATCCAATGACGAGGTGTCTTTATAAGAAAAAAAGGACACAGAAGACACAGAAGCAATGTGAAGATGGAAGCAGACATTGGCATTCTGCTACCGTGGCCAAGGAACGTCAAAAGCCACCAGTAGTTGGCTTTCCTTGCTCTCTCCTAGAGCCCATGGAGGGAACCTGGCCCTTCCAACACCTGTACTTCAGACTTCTGGCCTCCAGAACAGTGAAAAAAATATGTTTCTGTTGTTCGAAGCCACCCATTTGTGGAAATTTGTTAAGAAACTTCTATAGCTCGGGGCGCCTGGGTGGCTCAGTGGGTTAAGCCGCTGCCTTCAGCTCAGGTCATGATCTCAGGGTCCTGGAATTGAGTCCCGCATCGGGCTCTCTGCTCGGCAGGGAGCCTGCTTCTCCCTCTCTCTCTCTGCCTGCCTCTCCATCTACTTGTGATCTCTCTCTGTCAAATAAATAAATAAAATCTTTAAGAAAAAAAAAAAAGAAAAGAAACTTCTACAGCTCAATACAGATGAATAACGATGCTTGAATTGTTCTTTGACTGGGGTCTAGCCCAGGACCACCCACTTTTTGATAACGGCAGAAGCCCTGGAAATGACACAATGTACCATTTATCCAACTGTCTTGCTCTCCTCCACGTTAGAGTTGACCACTGTCTACTTCTATAGGAATTAACATTGCTGAGGAGTACCCAGTGAGATATTCATACTGCCACCTGCAGGTTTAAAGGTTCTTTGGAGACCACTCAATACAATGAAGTACAATGCATGTTTTTCTTCAGGAAAGTGAAGGCCTAAGATAGAAGATCTCATCAAGAAGCCAACCTTTCCCTCATCTTCAGACAAAAGCCTCCACTAAAATTACAAACATAAGTTATCAGTCCAATAGCCTAAACCTCATGGGTAACATCTCCATACTAGTTTTCAATGTGCTAATAAACAGCTTAGGTAGAATTACGGCAGTTCTCCTTCCTCGTTACCTTACCGTGTAGAGGGTGAAAAGCAAGCAGTGGTGAGATTAAAAGGTACTTCACTTCACCCCTAAGGACAACAAATTAAAATCATTTTCAACAAATCCAGATGCTATATGAGGAAATGAGAAACATGGCCTTGATAATGGTTTGAAGGGCAGATTTTGAAAGCAAAGTTTTATTCTCCTATTTCTGTTTTTCTTCTCACTGTCTCCCAGCATCTCCAATGGTATGTAGGAAAGGATACCAAGCTGGATCGATAATATTACCTAAAACTTCTTTAACACAGGGAAAAAAAAAAAAAGCATACTGTAAAAAAAAAAAATAAAGGAAGTGGAGCACCTGGGTAACTCAGTTGGTCGGGAACTTGGCTCTTGGTTTTGGCTCAGGGCATGATCCTGAGGGCCTGGAATTGAGCCTTCTGAGGTGTAGGGCTCCATGCTCAGTGGGGAGTCTGCTGAGGGATTCTCTCCCTCCGCCCCTCCTTCCGCTCATGTGTGTACTTTTTTTTTTTTTTAAATAGGAAGAAATGCACCAATAATATTAACAGTTTTTTCATTTTCCTTATGATCTTTTATTTTCCAGATGAGGACACGAAGGCACAGAAAAGTTAAATATTTTGCCCAAGGTCACACAACTGGTAAGAGGCAAGACTGAGATAGGCAGCCAAGGCAGTGTTGCTTCAATACCACCTACAACAAGAAAACTTAGAAGAGAAGCAACCTGGCATTGTAACTTTAAAGGATAAGAGCTGCCATTAAAACTGCTCTCGTGGTCTACCCACAAAGTCAAAATCTTAAAATGAGTTCCTAGGGAGTACTTTCTTCCTACAAATATTCAAAGTGCTAGGTCTACATGAACTCTGAACCTTTTACTGTTACAGGTCTGTTCCTCTCACCTACCAGTCAGTGTTCAAGTATACGGTGGTGAACTGTAGGTTGCTTGCCTGTACAGCAACGTCTTAATGTTTCCCAAAAGAAAAATATGGCAAAGAAATTCTACCGTGGACCAATTTTCAACTGGTGAAACAACTTCAGTAAAAAAGCAAATGCGTCAATGCAATACAACTGAAACACCTATGAAAATACACAGAAGTGGTTAAAAAGTGAGAGAAAAAGTTACCGTATCATATGTAAACCATGCCCATGTTGGGGGTGGGGGGGAGTCCTTTCTGTTCAGGGAGGAGTATGAAAGAACCTGAAAAGATAACAGTGCTAACAACAATAAAATAAAAACTAGCTACCAGGTTGTATATAAACATATGATATATTGTATTTTTATTTCATGCAGAATCACCGAGTATTGTTGAGGTCAGACTTTTAAAAACACAAGTTGGTTCATTATACAACTAAGTATAGAGATAAAGTCCAACTTAATCAGCCTGAGTCTTGATTCCCTATTTTTCTAAATATGCCCTAATATCACTTGTGTTCTTTGCTGCGACTATGACATAATTAGTATAAATTGCATTAATTCTAAATAAAGTTTGCCAAAATTCTAACAAAACAAAATTCACCTCAAATGCAGGTTTTAAGGAATATAGGCTTTAAAAGAATGTTAAATGTTGCTCTCCTTTAGAAGGATCTTGGATCTTAAAGATACTCAAGAGGAAACAATTTAAAAGGTCAGTCACATTAAATGTAAATGGATGGAATATAGCTGAATTTTAGATTCATATATAAAGTATATCTCCATAAAGTTGTTTAAAAAAGAAAAGGGTAAGAGAATTTCCAGTACTTTACTCTTACTGATCATCACCCAAGATAAATATTGAAGGCAGAGGATCACAAACTTCAATACTTAGAGTTCAGACAAGGGAAGGTAAACTTATGCCCCCATGTCTAAAGGTAGTAGGTACTAGATGGTTCCAGAGGATTACCATACACAAGGATATACCTAATGATTCCAAACCTTCTGAGTTTTCGAAATAAGTGGAAATATAGATTTTTGTAAATTAAAACATGGGCAACTCTGTATAAGTCACAGAGAATACATGTATAGATCGAATCTACCCCAAGGCCACCATTTTGCAAACTGAGCAGAAGAATACTTTGGATACACCGTATTTGTTCTTTGGTGGGTAAGATACACTTCATAACACAAAGTTTAAATAATATATATTAAAAATAAATTTTGAAAAAGAATAGTTTAATAAGAAAACCCTAGTAGGCCAAGAAAAGCTTTTATAATGACTATGCTTAGCTTTCTTTGTGAGTCAAATAGCATGCAAATCCATAACTATTCCAAAGAAAGTGATACAGTAACTTGGACTTGAAGTCAGGTTCTAATGCTGATACTCTAAAGTAAGTAACAATTAAAGCCAAGAAAGAGCCACTGCCCGGCCCCCAGCTGTGGGGGCTTACTACTAAAGATACTGGTTTTCAAAGTCAGGGACTGAGCAAAGTTATTCTTATAATAAAATAATTATTTTAATGAAGTATTTGAAATAATTTTAAGCATCTGATCAATAAGATTATACACAAATATGGGAATATGCTGCACTTTACAAAAAAATAAAGCTAAGCATTTAAATATACAAAAACAACTTTGGGTATAGATCTCTTCTGAAAGTATTCTTTTAACATATACATAATTTATAGCATTTTACACAATAACTTGCTGAAACAAAAAAATGTGGACAATTTAGCATTTACTACCATATAGAACATGGCCGTAACAGAACCGATGGGAAGAACAGAATGAGGAGTAACATACTAGAGGTGTACTTTTCCCCCTGAATTCTTTTCCTAAAAAGCAGCTATCTTGTTTTGTTTTGTTTTAAAACCTTCCTGGAGGATTTACTGGTTCTTTCTTATGTGATTCTAAATATAGCTATTATTTTTCACAGCTACATGCCACAAAGGTGGAATTAAAAAAAAAATAAAGAGGGTTTGCTTTACAAAACATCAGCTTCCTTCTCAGATGTATGTGTGTGTGTGTATGTGTGTGTGTGTGTGTGTATATATATATATATATATATATATATATATATATATATAAAACATGCTTCTCTTAATACATTTAGAGACAAGAGCTCCAACAATGCAATGCTGACATTACCTTTTGAGTACTGAATCCAAAATGGAGTCCTATTGTTAAAAATTTCTAATCATCAATTAGCGTTTTTTAAATGCAACAAGATGCTTAAAACTTGCAGTAACGAAAAAGATTTTACAAAACTATCCTTTGTGAGATTTAAAACAATACACAAAACAAAAAAATAACTTCTTCCTTTTGAAATACTACAAATTTGAAAATGTTTGATACATTTTCCTTTTTGGTCGGACTGTGATTTTGTCCTGTCAACAAAACCTATACCAGCTGTGTTGGGAGTGCCAATCTCACCCCCAGAATGGAGGGGGCACCGCGGCATACTTCCCACTCTGGGATTCCATTTTCACTTTCCCCTCCGCAGGTGAAATGCAACGCCCCTTCATTCCTTCCAATACTTCCCACCTTTCCCAGTTTCCAGTGAGGTGTATCAGCAGTTCCTGTTTTATAGTTTCCCAGACCAGGATGTCCCCTCACTCGGTATCAGAAGCAGCATATGGTGATGAGCCAGAGAACCACAACCTCAGGCACAAACTATCCCCATTTGCCTCAGTTTTGACAACACCGGGATGAGCTGATCAAAGTCACCACAGACCCTATTCTGTGGCTCGTCACCTCCAACTCCAGAAGGTGACTGTCACAATCAGCTCTGCAACTTCTGATCCCAGCCCAGAAAACCTAACACCTTGAGACAGGTTTAGTAGAGGGCGGAATTCAGTTTGCTTGGTAAGTAGTCACTCTTCCTTTCTTTCCCTTGCATCTTAGCGCTGGCTGTAGTAGGGAAATCACCTCACCTGTTAACAGTTTGGCAAATGAAGCAGGTGGTACCAAACAGGGCCTTGACTTGCTGTAATTAAATGCACAGGTAGGCAGAAGCCTACGTCTGTATAAACCGTGTTTCATTAACCAATTTCCAGAAGACAAGGTTGAATTCTAATCATTAAGAACCCCATGGGATGTATAAATAAGATTTAATAAAAGTTTATAGCTGTAAACAATGGTCTTCCCTATTGGTGATTATTTTCTGGAAACTGAAACTTCAGGAGAGTCCAACAGCGTTCTTTATGTCTTCTTTGGCAGTAAACAGCAAGGATCTGGATGGAGAGTGCAGTGGTCACTTCAGAAGGGCAAGGTATAGAGCTCGAGAATACCTCATCTCTCTTTCCTGTTCCATACAGAATATCAAGTCCCTGAGACAGATTCTTGTGATTCTTGGACGAAGCAACTGTTTGGTGGCTGTCAGGCTGGATGTCCCAGAAGCAAGAAGATTGTCTTTCAAGCCCTAAACAGAATAAACAGAAACAAAAGTTTAAAGTAAGTGATCTCTCATAAAGGGAAAAACTGTCTTCAGAATGAAGAGCTGACTAGCTTCTGGCCACTGAGTTAGGTGCTGGAGAGAATACAGTGATGCAGCAGTCTCCACCCTGTCCCCCAGCAGCCCCACCTCATGGGGGAAGGCCAACTGCCACACCAGTTCATGACCTCATTCATTCTCTCTCTCACCTGGACTATGGCGACAGGCTCTTAACTGATTTCTCCCCTTCCATGCTTGACTTCACCCCATTCTTTGCTGTGTACCAAAGGCCAGACCTTCCTCTTTAAAGGTCTTAGATAAAACTTTTGAGAGTGATGGATGTGGTCATTATTTCAGTTGCAGTGATGATTTCATAGGTGTATGTAAAGAAACCTATCAGACCGTGTGCAGTCTCTTGTGTATTAATTATAAAAACAAAAAACACCCTATGCGGCTCACATCCCACCATTCTGTTGTTCAGAAATCTCTGATGGCTCACCGCTACCCAGAGCAGTTACCTGAGCACTTGTTAAACTGGCAACTATGGGACTCACCTCCCACGCATGATCCCTTTGCTTTCATTTAACATTGCAGCACGTTGCATGGGTGCTGTCTCCATTTATCAAATGAGAAAACTGTGCTGAGATAGGTCACGCAACCTGTTTAAAGTCACACAGCAGAACTGAACTGTGACTCAATTTCTAATTGGATCTGAAGTGAGCGCTCTTAGTCACTGGACTATATTATCTACCAAATCAGGTACAAACTCATCACCTGGCATCCCTACAGGCTCACTTCCCACTGCTCCTTTACAAAGCATCTTAACTCTGGCCAATAGATAAAGATCTGCAAAAGGCCATTCCAGACCAATCTACTCATCTTTTCTTTTCTTTTCTTTTTATTTATTTATTTATTTATTTGAGAGAGAGAGAGACAGCAAGAGAGAGCATGAGTGAGGAGAAGGTCAGAGGGAGAAGCAGACTCCCCGTGGAACTGGGAGCCAGATGTGGGACTCGATCCTAGGACTCCAGGATCATGACCTGAGCTGAAGGCAGTTGCTTAAACAACTGAGCCACCCAGGCACCCCTCTACTCATCTTTTAAGACCCATTTCAAAGGGTCTACTTGCCTTCCCCCACCAAAGGAATTCTCACCGTAGCAATTACCTTATATAGTATTACAGTAATTTGTATATGCTATCATCACTACTACATACTCACTAGATCATAAGCTTTTTGAAGATAGGGACTATCAACCAATGTGGGCTCTAAATGGCATTCAAAAATGAATGAAACCCAATACGCCTATACTAAGACAGTTTTCCAAATATTAGTGTCTACACAACAGTATTAAAACAAACAAAGAAAAAACTGGAAAAAGAAATGAAAAATACAGAATTTTCAAACAAAGGATAATTTTTAAAGATTTTATTTGGCAGAGAGTGAGTGAATGAGAGAGAGAGCGCACAAGCAGGGGGAGCAGAAGGCAGAGGGAAAGAGAGAAACAGGCTTCCTGCTGAGCAAGGGGCCTTACCTGGGGTTGCCTCCAGGACCCTGAGATCATGACCTGAGCAAAAGGCAGCCTAACCAACTGAGCCACCCAGGTACCCCCAAAGGGTAATTCTATAAAGGTGAAATCCTTTATTTTCCTACTTTTTAAAAATCATAGTTTGTTTCCAAAAACATCTTGATAGGGTTGGTAACCCTCCTTTCACCCTCCAAAAGACTTATATAAGAGAAGATATTTACCTAACACAGGAAGCAAATCTGGTTCCATAACTATCCTTTTATAACTATCAAATTTTAATTATTTCCTCTACATTTCTGTTTTGCTTTGCTTTGTTTTGATGAAGGAGAAAGAAATCCTTTTTAAGGTATCCAATAACACCATGGTCAAACCAAGTCAACTTAATTCCATGCATGTTCCACAAATGACTGAGGGGAACTTTATCCGATGGTCAAATAAAATTTCCTTGAAAGATGCCTTGCAATTTGGAGGGAATTGCACAATCAAATTTCTATACTCATTAGGTTAAACTTGCTCAAAAGGGTCCATGGAACCAATTTTGGAAAGTCCACATTTTTAGAAAGGACAAAAGTGTTACTCTCGGTGCACTACTGCCTGGCTACTTATCCAGGAGTCCATCTACAGTATAGAGCCAGTCTCTCACCACTTCTGCAAGGTTCTTAGTAATGAATGCAGTTTGTAGAAATATAAGTATCAGCCTCTGTAACTTCAGCTAAGAATGGCAGTCAAGCACTAGCACATTCCTCTTCCCTGTTAATGTTACCACTTAGGGGTGGTATAACATAGATGCAATCTTAACTACTGTAAACTATCACTATCACAATACTTTCATAAAATTTTTAAGAATAGGGATGCCTCAGCTCAGGTAATGAACCTGGGGTCCTGGGATCAAGTCCCGTATCAGGGTCCTTCCTCAGGAGGGAGCCTGCTTCTCCCTCTGCCTGACACTCCTCCTGCTTATATGCACTCTTTCTTACAAATAAATAAACAAAAATCTTAAGTAAAAAAAGATTTTTGCAGAAATGGACCAACAACTCAGCTTTGGAAAACTGGATTAAAAAAACACACATTAGGAAGAGAGTTAATAAAACACATCATGGGCAGTGAGTGGCAATTTTGTTGTATACAGGAATTATCTGTTTAAAACTATAGTACATTTATTTTATTTTTAAACTATAGTACCTTTAAGTAGAGGCACTTTTCTTAGCCAAAAATTAGATGTAATATGCTAAAGCTGAATCGACAGTTGTTTATAAATGTTCAAGTACTAAGAGTTTACCTAAAAAATCAGTCATTTAGTGTTTTATGTGAATTTAGAAATTAAATGGCTAGCTGGATACACTATGTCTTGGCAATTCCATTTCTATGTAAGTACCCAGAACTATATCATATGTTCACCAAAAAACATGTATGAGAACATTTAGCACTATTATTCATAATAGCCCTAAACAAGACACAATCCAAATGCCCATTTAGCATAGGTAAGTTGTGGACTACTTATCCAAATGGAATACTACACAGCAGTAACAAGTAACAAGTAACATGGATGAATACTGCAAAAATTGAAATGAAAGGTTCCAGACGTAAAGGAATACATAGAGTGTGATTCCGTTTCTCTAAAGTTCAGAGCTATAGAAGTTAGGACAATGATTCCCCTTGGGAAGGGAGAGGAGCAGTGCCCAGAAGGAGATAGGAGAGGGTTGTCTGGGGTTCTGGTGATGTTCTCTGTCTAGACTGCAGTATTGCCTACATGAGTGTGCATGTGCCGTGAAAATTCAGTGAGCTCTGATTTGTGTGCTTTTCTGCATCAGTATTATACTTTAATAAAAAAACTAAAATGCTCCCCAAACACCCCAATAACCCTTGTCTAGGTAGGAAATAAAAAAGGGAGCAAAGAGGGAAAAAGAGGAAAGTAAATAAGGCAAAAATGTTAAACAGAAAAAAATTAAAGAAACCAAATCATCTGGGTAAAGAACAAAGGGGTCACAGTTCATGTTTGTCATGTGACAAGCCTAAAGGATTCAGGATAAAGAGCCATATTACAGCTGCCAGCACGGGGTTGAAAAGAAGGTCATTCCAACAGGATGTAGCAGAAGGCCTGAGGCAATGTTATAAATGAAACAAACCTCAAGGGACATTCAGTAACCCAACAGAAATGTCTTTCATAATTCACAACTTTACAAAGGTGATAGCATCCTCTTCTCCCAAACAGTGACACACTTAAGAAAGTCAATCTTTCTTGAACATGGATGCATATATATATATATATATATATATATATATATATATATATATATATATGGCCTTTTTATTCCTATGCTTATGGTTTGGGGATGACTACAGTCTGACTTGTCAGTTTCACAATGACCTGGCCAGAATAATCAGCTACCTCTCAATTATCCATGGTTAAGAGAGTGGCTAATGCATGCCTAACTTAAAGCCATTAAAAAAAAACACCAAAAACCAAAAACCAAACAAACAAAAAAACAGACCCTGTGACAACGTATTGTTTATTTCTGAAATAGGGTGTTTCCCCAATCATCTTCCTACATGAGGATATTCTTTAACTTGGATTCTTCATGTGGATGAAAAGCAGGTAAAAAGGAAGAGAAAGGTCAGAAAAGATGAAAGAAATAATTCACTTACCAAGTATACAACAAATGTTCTTAAAAATCATAAGACCTAAATGTTCATATACTCTACTACTGCTAGGTCAATTAAGTTGGCCTTCACTACTGTTCAATTGCATTTTGAGGAATTCTTCTAATAAGAAAAAACCGAACACCATAAAGTTACCAATTTCAGAAAAATAACACCGTTTTAAGAATAACACTAATTAAAAATAACCCATTATCTAAACTTTTATTCCCTCAAGTTAATGGAGTGGGTGCTCTGCCTTTAAAAGTTTGTTTACTTCTTTTTCCACATTTCCTTAAATTCTATTACTGCTATACTAATTGGAAAGCAAATATAACATCTTTATGAGCCCAGGGGCTTCATGAATCCTGCTAAAGTTCTCAGTGACTCCGTATGGGCTTCTGTTTCTAAAAGCTGCCATTCATGGCAACTTAACTTCATGCTAGTTCAAATTTAAAAGTTACCTGGGTTACTGGCCATCTGCTATGGGCAAGGAACTGTGCTAGGCAGCATAAGATATACAGGAGGATTGAACAGTGGTGAGCATCTGTTGTCTCCTCCATAAGCAACCTCACACAAATTACTTAAGTTTTCTGTGCCTCAGTTTTCTAATCTGCAAAATAGAGATAGTAACAGTAATTATCTCGTAGTGCTGTCTTGAGGATTAAATGAGAACAATGCCTGGCACACAATATACATTCTGTAAGTGTTAACCCTTCTTATAATAAATTAATTCATTAGTCAGTTGCGAGGTTTGAAGTTTTTTATAAACAGGAAATAGTGTAATTCTAGTTCCAGAACTTTTCTGACATCCCCTAGTTAAAA